ATACAAAATTAACGATGCAGAACTCCAATTTAAATGCACTTGTTAATGCACTTGTGCATTAATTTATTCTCATTAAATATACATTTCTTACCTAATTGATTTTAATTTTCATTTTATAACCGGCGTTGAACAGCCAACCAATTTTTGTGTATGAAGCTATCAATTTTTAATCCGTATCCTTGTAATTTTGAACCCAACCTAGAAGACAGGGGAACTCCTGGATATGGCACTGATGCCAACATATTTTATAAAGTGGCCAGCGGCTCAGTAAAGATTTACAGCTCCATAGAAAAAATTATGCAAAAACTGAATTTAATATTTAACCCTTTGACGATGAGACACTGGGGTCCTTTTATATATGTATTTTTTTTGACACTATTTAATAGCAAAAATATCTTTTTTTAATTATAAAAAAAGTCGAACAGATACTAAAAAATCAGTTAGATTTAATTGGAATTATATTTGTAGAACAATCTAAAATAAAAAAAGAGAACAGTTTAAAAAAAAATCTTTTTTTATTCATATTCAAAAATTTATCAACAATAGATTTTGAGAATAAATGAAATTTCAATGATGAATAACTTTAAATAGGCGCAATTTTTGAGAATTATTGTCTGGAATTGAGCCGTGAAGGAAGATTTTACATTAAAGGAAAAAAATAAATAAAATAAATAAATAAAAAGCAAAGAAAGAAACCGGTGTACTTCATAACCCTAAATTATTAAAATGCTATTTATAACATTTTTCAATTGATGCAAAATAATGAAAAAAGTATGAAAAATATGTTTAGTAAAAATTCTGTGTCAAAGGGTTAAATTTTACATTGAATAAGATTTTGCAAATTGAAGTAAATAAAAAAAAAAAAAATAAAAAAAAAAGCAACTTAACACGTCAACGATTCAAGTGGACAACGATTCGATTTCGCGGTGCACGTTACTAATGCAGTTTCTATTAGAATTAACTGTTTTTGGATTAGAATTAACTGAATTAACATCCAATCTATCACCAATTCGTTAAAAATATTTTTTAAAAAAATAATAAAGTAAATCTACGTGCTAGGCAAACATCAATAATAATCGACACGCTGTGCAATCTTTGGGTGAATCGTATAAAAATTTGTAGAAGTTACAGAAACTGTTATAGTCAAATAAAACGAAGTAATTAGAAGAGAAAAACACTTTATTTTTGAATTAATTATATTTCATAAATTTAAACGCCCCTATACGACTGTCCCTGGGGACAGATGACCCCTCTTGCTCCTCGCTAGCTACGCCATTCAAAAGTAGTAAAATAGATACCATTAAATTTTCATAATTTTGAATAATCTTGAAAACGTTTTAACAAGCCAACCACGAGAATAATGAAACAAAGAAGTTTTACTACCCGAAAAAACTTTCTCACAAAGTGCCGTAAGCTGGTATCTCTGATTAGATTTTGAAACAAACTAGGTTCGTGAAAGACTTTTTAACTAAATCACAATTGCGTTACAATTAGATAATTGCAATTGGGGGAAAACTATGAAAACTCTAACCCGAGATCTGTCTACCCCTGACAATATTTTATGTCTACAGCACGGTCGGAGCAAGTCGAGAGCAGCATACGAATCAACCTGCCATCGCTGGGATTCGAACGTAGATTACCTCAACTGGGAGGCAAGCTCTCTGTTCCATGACGCGTCTCCTACGTACTTGATTTTATTTTATTTTATAACTGTCGTTGAACAACCGACGCAATTTTGAGTTTACGGCTACCAATGTTCAACTCTGTAGCCTTTTAATTTTGAACACACCGGAAGACAAGGGAACTTCAGAATCAAGTATTGGGAGAAATCTTGCCTTCGTGGAGGACTCTTTGATGGAACTAAGCCGCATTTGCTTTACATGGAGAGGAAAACCACGAAAACCTCCCTCGGTCAGTCTGAAGGCAAGGGGACATAACACATAATCTGTCTACTACTGAGAATATTTTTCGTCAGTACTGTGTTCGGTGCGAGCCGGGTGTAGAGTTCGTATCGACCAGTCATGGCTGGGATTCGAACCCGGTTCACTTCATTTTGAGGCGAGCGCTCTATGTCTGAAGTAGGATGAGCTGCTCCATACCTATAATAAGGGGGTTGAACATTAGTCGTAAACCCATAAAATTGGGTCGGCTGTTCAACGACGGTTATAAAATAAAATATAATAAGGAAGGGATTAATAAGGAATTTACAATTGTGTTGGAAAGGCGGAATTTAGAAAAGTACTACAATGGAAGATTGTATGCACTTAACCATATTTAAATGAAATTTATCTTAATAATACCAGAAAACTATTCACTTTATTACAATAATCTATTCAAAGTTTATTGAAGGATTATTATTATTTGAAAAGTGAATTAAAAAAATATCTCATAAAAGAAGAAAAAAAATGTTTTTATTGTAACTCGTGTAGGGGCTCACAACCCTTTCTTGAATAAAGAGTCGCATGCCCAAGTTAAAATAAAACTTCAACATTATAGCGCCAAATAAGATTCTTTTTAGCCTTAGGACATTTATAGTTAGTGAATTATTAGAGATTTTATGAATGTTAAACCGTAAAACGGTTTTTTAAATTCTTTTCTGAGCTACAAAAAAAGGAAGAAAGAAAAAAAAATTGAAAAATAACTTGGATTGATGATAAAATCGGCACAAATAAAGCTCATTGATGATTGTGATGATTAAAACCCCCGATTTGAAAATCGCAAGTCGTTATAATACCAGATTTAAAATATCAAGATTTTCGAAATCCCGTGAAAAAATGTAGCAATAACTGTCGGAAAAAACGATTTTAAAAAAAAAGTTTCAGATTTGCGAGTCCTCTTAGATTTGTGTACTTTTTATTTACGGCACAAATGAAGGCCACATTTAAATGATTAAAAATATCGGGATTTATAAAATTGTATGGAAATAACGATAGAGAAAAAAATACTCAGAGAAGCGATACGATTCTTAGAAAAACGAGTATAAGTCATAACTTAGTTACGAGTTAAACTTAGAAATACGTACTTAGCGAAACGATACAGAAATAGTACCAAGGAAAAGAGAGTACTTAGAAAATAGTACGATAATATTCACACAAATAAAGCACGTCAAATGTGATTACAATTAGCACAATTTGAAACTCTCGAGTGGTTATACTAATGTATGTATTAAAAGATCGAGAATTTAAAAAAAAAACACGGGGTAATCCGATAATAACCTCCTAAAACAAGATTCAAAAGTCACTTATTTTAACTATAAACCTGACACAAATAAAGAATTTTAAAAGTGATTTCTAAAATTCGAAATTAACGTAATCATAATTTCGTCGAAATAAAAATATTGGGATTTTTAAAACTTTGGAAATTTGGTGCAATAACAACTGAAAAAAGCGATCAAAAAACTATATTGATTTATATTTGGCTCATTAAGAAATGCGAAATTCTAAGTTCCCAATATTAATTTTTTTATTATATTCAGGTGTGGCCGGCCGCACATCAAAAGCTGGCAGGCTGCAAATTGTCAGGGCTAAAGCAAATTGTGCTTTCCCTCGCAACCCCTGCTGTGCTACTGACTGAAAATTTAATACAAAACCTGATTTAAGCTTGAAACTGTTAGACACTGAGTCAAATTTTAAGTTTCTCGGTTTCATCAGACAGCCACACACATATATTTCTTTTTTGCTTTTCAGATTTAACTTATGCTTAACTGATGACCAGTTGGTTTGTTAAACTAATTTTGATTTCATTTTTCCTTTAGCTATCATTTTTTATTTTAAAAATGTTTGTACTGGGATGTTTTTGATAATGAAATTATAGTGCAACATGAAAAAACATATATTCTATCAAAATTTGTATGCAAGAGAAATGTTAAGAAATACTAGTCTATAAGACATTTTCTTAATTATAAAAGGTAAGATTTATTGAAAATTTAATTTATGTAATTTGCCGACCAGGTAGCCGAGTGGTTAGCGTTCCTGACTGCGGAGCCGATGGTTGCGGGTTCGAATCCCGCTCAGGGCATGGGTGTTTCTTTCTCTCTTTCTGTGTTCTATGTCCTTTCTTCTGTGTGAATGTGATCTGCCCTATAAACGGGGTTGTGTGACGTGGGCGACGCTGCTCCACCGCCGTGGCTTGGCCATAGGTGCTTACTGGGTAATGAGAAGAGAGTAGCAGTTCTGGCATTTCTGAGGCCAATGGGAAATAGATCCAAGTACCTGCCATTAACCAAAAAAAATTTATGTAATTTGCTCGAATTTTTAAAACACATCAAAAAATGATTGATTGCGTACACTGTACAGTTAAATGGCATAAGAGCTAAGTGTGTTTATACCGGACCGAATTTTGGTAAATCATGCCAATACGTACTTATTGTAATTAAAACAAGTGGTGTTAGAATCGCTGTTTGGCTAAAAATAAAAAAAGAGGAGAAAATAAGCTAATGGAAAAGTTATATTTTGTAATGAAAAAACTGCATTAGCTTCAAAAATTTGGGTGGAAAAATTCGACTTGTCGCGAGCTTTCAAAACAAAACGCTCATTATCAAGAACCACCATGCGTTGACAACGAAAACAAAACAGATTTCAAAATCAGAAAATGAATGGAGATATATCCTTTTGGAAATGTATTCCTGCCATGATTTGCCTGCTTCGGTCACAATAGTTTCCGTCGACTACTGCAATTTTCTTGCTTTGTTTTTCCTTTTTATTTACTTTTCAAATCCGTTTTGTTTTCATCATTGACGGGTAGTGCGTCTTGAGAATAAGCGCCCTATTTCGAGTGCCCAGAAGATTTCGACTTTTTCCACCTTAACTTTTGAAGCTAATTTCAATTGTTAAATCTCCACGAAGCATATCTTTCTGATTCAGTTTCTTGCGATTGTTCTTTTTATGATAGAAAAAGTGTCGAGTCTTAAGATTGTTATATGATAAATCTCTATAAATGACGGAACAATTTTACATGTGCACACATCCAATAAGGTACTTTTTTTGGAGAATGAGTCCACATTTAGTATTGAATTTCATTTATTAATTTCTCAGTTTGCATGAAACAATCTTGACACAGTCATTGATGGTCTGCTTCACATTTCACATTTGAATGGGAATCATAGAAGCTGTTAGCCATTCTGGTGGCCAGAGTGATGATTTTTTCTTGCACAGCCAATGAATGCCTCTGGATTTCAACTAAGCTGGAAATGACAGAGAGTAACTCAAGTCTGTAGCCAGCTAATTCTTCTTCATAAGCTGCGTTTCGGTTCATTTTAGTGGACAAATCGATGGCAGCGCAGGCATTCCTCCAGTCGTGGCCTTGAAAATTAGCAATTGATATGCTAGGATACTGACCCATCCCAGCACCTGAAACAGCTGAAGCTTCGTCAATCTTAGTAATATCGTTAGTAACTTGATCGTCATAGTTGTTATTGGTTTCATGTCTACGGCTATGCCGGCGATCTATAAAGGAATCCAGCCGTTTGAAATAGATCCACGTAGGGTTATGCTTCCCAGAAGACTTCGTTTTCCTGCAATGACAAATTAAAATGTTAACTGAAAAAAGGCGTGGATAAAGGTTGAAGTGACATTTTAGTAAATTAGAGTAAACTAGCTTTATTGTTGTTGTTATTGTTGTTAATTTACGTCGCANACAGGTTGAAGTGGCATTTTAGTGAATTTGAGTAAACTAGCTTTAAAGTTTATAGGTTGACAATAAATAAAGATAATGCTTTCCTTTATTTCTTTTCCACATGTTCAGATTTCCGAAACCTACAAATATTACACATTCATTAAACCTTTTGACTCGTAATTATCATTAAGCCTATTTTTCATACTTTTGTTTTAATTTATGTTAAAATAAGCGAAAACTATTATAGTTACAATTTTAATAATTTTTGGTTATAAAATGCAGCATTGAACACCAGTGACCCTTTTTACGTTAATGGTAATATTTTCCAAATCTGACTCACTTGCAAACAATAATTTTTTAAATGTGCACTTATTCAGATCTAAGAGAAACAGTAATTCATTATTGAAATATCTTCAATTTTCAAAATCAATTATTGATAAATTTTTGAACATGAATGGAAAAAAAAAATTTTTTTTTCAAACTACTTTTTTTAAATTTTATATTTCAAAACAAATGTAATTTCAAGATTCTAACAGATTTTTGAATAACTATTGCAGCTTTGTATAGTTAAAGAAATACCAAAAATATATTTTTGTTTATAATAAGAGTCTCAGGTAAAATATATATATATAAAAGGTACACCGTGATCCCATCCACGCTGTAGAGTTAAACTGCTTCCGCCGTAGCATTCACACTTTTGTTATTATAATTTTCAGTCAAAAAATAGGTTTTCTTCTAAAGTTGTTATTGTTTCCATTTGCCTTCGAAACGTTCTTTTACTCCGAAAACACGGTAAGATTGTTATTTAGGTAAGAATCCTCCGGAATTAGCGAAATTCAGATTTGAAAAAATAAATTAATTGAATATAATCACCGAGATCCTTCCCGAAAAACCATAATTTTTTTTCAAGGATGTTAATCAGAACCTTATCCCACTAAACTTTTCAATAGTGACTAAACATGACAATATGCTGTTTAGACAAAATCAATTAAAATACTCTATTATGAATAAATCTGTTCGATCAAACAATTAAAATACGCTTAAAAAATTTTTTTTTTAAAAATTCATTAATTTCTTTTTTTTTTGCATACAGCAGACACCAAAACTTATTCATCTCAAATAAATATTTTTTTTCTTTTTTTGACCTGCTAGAAGCAAGTTTTTTCGCGTACAACTCATTTGATTATTTTAACCCTTCGCCCTTCGAGTATTTAACATACTAACTAGGCAAATATAGAGCACATTTTAAACTTAAAGTATATAAAAAATTAGTAAGATGTACTGGTGTTGACGGCTGGAGATCAGCTGAATGTTTTCGTCATTTGCACTTTTTACTTATTTCGTCACATTTCTGAAACTAATTAGTAACTATAAAAAATAAAAAAAAATCCTTCGTGTATCTTACAAACTAACATTTTGTCAATCGTTATTAAATTAAATAACAACAATCAAAATGCCATTTGAAAAACGCACATTTTAAATCGTGTAGATAGCTTGCGTGGAAATCCGATCATAGCATTAAAATTATTCAGGGTGCGACGTTTTTATTTTTTGTTTTATGCATGCTACATGAACTGTGAATAGGATTGAAGACCAAGAGAAAAGAACGGCTTATGTCCATTTTTTCTAAGACGTTTGCATCGCCACCAGTTGAATTTTGAGGATTACTAAATTTTGACAAATCAATATCGTGAAAAATCGGTTCTTCTCGAGAATTATTTTACAGTGAAGATGGGCCATAGGTGCTCGCAAAATCATCTTTTCTCCAAATCAGCTTTTAAGGACAAAAACTGTTCTTCCCACGAGGTATAAGTCCAGTTTGGTTCCATAAGTTTTACTTTTTTTTCCTCAAAATTTCAGATATGTTCAATAATTGTTTATAAAATTTTTTTTTTTACATTTTTGACATTGATAAAATCAAAGAACCTTTTTTTTTCTAGACAGATTTTTACTCTCACAATCCATATAGATAAATGCAAAAGTAATAAAGTTTAAATAATAAGTTGAATTCATTTTTAATATATTAAATATATTTTACAGTTTACTTAAGTATAATAGTTAGCATATAACTATACTAAATTAGAACATTAAATAAATTTACGATACATTAGAAATGATGTTCAATTTCGCAATACGAGTATTCAAGGACGCATTTCACGGTCATTCGTGCCGAGAATGGAATTTTAATTTAATAAAAGTTGTCCAAGAGCAATTAACATTCCTCATAAAATAAAAATACAATTTTAAATTTAGAACATGAAGAATACACTTTATGAAAAAGAATTGCTACATGAAAGAGAATAAAGTGTTGTTACGTGAAAGAGAATAAAACAAAGTATTGATGCATGACAAAGAATAAAGTATTGATAATGACAAAGAATGAAGTGCAAAATATTGCTCCATGACAAAAAATTAAGTATAAAGTGAATGCTTCCTACATGAAGGAAAATAAAGTATAAGTATGTAAAAATAAAAAAACTTAAAACATTGTTTGAGCATGCAACAAAACTGAAATGGCGAAGAAAGTAAATGTACATGAATTGAGCAATAATTTTGTTGAAATTCTAAGATGTGAAAATAAAAAACACAAAAAATGGCAAATTTCAACTTCCTTGTTACAACAGACAATTAAAAATATGAAACAGAACTTACATAAAACACGAAACCTTTTATACTGCTTACCTGTACTTTTGAGTCAAATTGTCAATCTTGACAACTATCTGGCGAATAGTTTTTTCTATGTTTATAGCACATAATGCTGCTTGCATTTCTTCGTGAACATGAGCAGTTCTTCTTTGACTTCTTAGTTGTTCATACCTTTGTTCCCAGACATCGATGAGAGCAATAGTTTCTGCATGAGTCCATAAATGCCTGGATTCAGCCATACCATTAAATTTAACAATATTCTTAAGAACGTAACATCTATCGAAGATATACTTGAAATAATTTCATTGCAATCAGAAAACAACAATGACAAGCTAAGGGTTGCAAATTGTCGTCGCCAATACGAAATCACTCTCGTAATTTTGATAGAAACCAACTAAACGCGCCAAAGTAAAGGTAGCGCACTGTTTAATATTATTCAAAGAAAAATTAAAAATCTTACATTATCTATAGTTAGTTAATTGTTTAAACAAAGCATGTAATATTATCAAAATTAATATGTATTTTAATTTTGAATATATATAAAGGGCAAAGTTGTCTCCTCTTTTTTTCTCATGTATAAAATTTAAGTTCTTAACTAAAAGACAATCGCCAAATGGACATTTGGCAAATATGGAACTTAAAATTTGTTAATGGCAATACTTGGATTTAGAATCAAAATTGAGGCAGGCTCTTACGCTATTAATTAATTTAGTTTTCAGAATTTTACTGTTTTTACTTTTATAAAACGAAGTCTGAAAATTCATTTACTTAGAAATCGAATAAATAATAATAATTATAATTTTTTTTCTGTATTGAGGTCCTAAAAAGGTATCATAATCATTTAAACTATCAGAAAATCAATTTATGCAATAAGAAACTTTTGTTTTTAAGGAATGAAATAGAATAATAGATTTGATTTAATCCAATTAATGGCTTAACGTGAAACATGATAAAACAAATTTTTCTTTTCTTAACTTAAAATAATAATAATTAAAAAATGGTTTGGCTTTAATAATGTATGAAGACATTTGTTAAAATTGTTTATACAGTTATTTAAATAAAATGTCAAAGAATTAAATTTGTAAAGAAATAAAAATTAAAAGAAAGAAATTTAACGTTTGCAATTTTCGGACAGCTTATGAGTGAAAAAAGTGGTCAGTAGTTTCAATCTCTTTTATTGTCTGAATTCATTTTTAATGTATAGAGAATTTTTAGAATTTTTTTTTTACGAATAACATTTTTAAGAAGAAAAAAAAAAAGAATTGTTAAAATAATTTTTCACACCAAAATAGCGTAATACTCAAAATTTCTAAGTAGTCAAAAACACGAAAATAAATAACTAAAATTTATTATTAGTTTGAATGACATTAATGCCATTTTCTCAGAATAAAGCAATCATTCATTTCGAATTCAAGCTTGGGCTTTTTACAAACATTGGTAGTATATTTTAAGGAATTAGTCAATTTACCCAGAAAAATTTATCTAGTCAATAAAATTAAATGTGTTTGGTTTTTAAAGTTTTTCTTTTCCTTAAAAAAAGTAGAAAAAACTGTGCAGACAATTATTTGTAATGTCCGTCTAAAGAAATCTTTCTTTCATCAGAATCTTTTTTACTCATTCATCAGAATGCTACCCTTAATATAATGAAAATTGGAAATAAGTTTGAAAATTCTGCGGGAACGTTACATAAGTTAACACGTTATCAAATAACAGACAGTATTACAGTCAAACCCCGCTATAGTGAACACGGCTTTTAGTGAACTCCCGGATATAGTGAACGAAATGCTCGGTCCCGTGCCTTGCTGTACACGTATAATGTTATTTTTAGTGGATATAGTGAACCAAAAAAGTGAGGAAGTTGGATATAATGAACTTTTTTCTGTCTTCGACTGATTTCCCGCCCCCCATTTTCTCTGTAATAATTTTGAAATTTCTTCTTCAAAATAAATACATATACCGATTTTTAAAANTCTATCAAATTTATTATATCTTCACTACACAATTTTACATTCAAATAAAACAAAAAGTAAGAAACACATTTATAAGCAGCAATTTAGTTGAGTGGAAACTATTTTGCATAAGGGAATAGTTTTGCTAAATTCTTTTTTTTTTATGGCGGATATTTTTTGAAAAATGTTTGTTCATGGGGGTTACCTTAGATTTTTTCTCGGAGAGGAAATTTTCTTAAACATCAAACAACTATTTCTTAGAATTGCAAAGTTAACAAGGTTCCTTTCAAAAAAGATTGAATAGATGCCCTTTACTTAGAAAACGAATTAAATTTTTCAATTTTGATGTAAGAGTTAAATTAATTACAACCAATTTATAAAAAGCTGGAAAGTATGGCGATGATTAATAACATATTTTCTAAAGTAACGGATTTTAAAACAGAAGAAAAAGATTTTTCCTGTAGCTAATAAAGAGGGAAAACTTGAAGCAAAACGAAAAGATCAGAAATTTATGGATTTCAAAACCACTTATCTTAATCAGCCATTTTTTTTTTGTTCCTCGAATTTTTTGACAACTAAGAAAGCATCGAAAAAAGATCCCTTTCGCAATGCAAGACTGAGCACGATTTTAATGTAATTGAAAGTCGAATGTAATTCAATGCACAATCACAGGTGACAAACTAATCACAGGTGAGTTCTGATATTTTGGAAAGTAATTGCGTGAATAAAAATGGTTCTGAATAAATTTTATTTCAGTGATCTGATTTTCATGCATTAAAAACCTATCTTAATGGTTCAAAAGTGTCACGACCTCAATTATGCTAATTAATTAGGACAGGCAATATTTTAATTTACGAAATCAGACGTAAAAATGTAATTTCTCGAGACAAACAATTTCTTTCCCCCGGCCGATTTGGATTTTTGATCATTAAAATATTACAGAGTAGCCATTGATCGAACATATTCATCGATCGAAATTTCTGGACCCACAATTTTATTTCATATCCTATTTCATAAATGTGAACTGAAAAATTTTTGCACAGTATTACAAAATTAGTTTATGAAAAGGAAAATGAATCAATAATAAATAGTTTTTAATAATAATCCATGCAAAAATAATTTTGAATATTTATTTCTTATATTTTATTTATAAATAGCCAAAAAGTTTTGAATGGTAAGGTACAAAAATGTTTACATAATTTAAAACTATACAATGTGGAATGACAAAATACTAAGTTTGAGCGAAATAAATCGAATAGTTCGTGATAAAAGAAAGTTTTAAAATATGGCTTTCTGAAAGTTTTATTTCCCAGAACCTAATGAATCACCCTTAAAGTCAATTTATTTAAATTGACTAAAATATTACATAACTTTATTCTAGTAGGGCTGTATAAACGGCTAATAGTTTGTTCTATGAACTGTGAAACATTAGGAGAAAATACCTGCGAAATATTGCTAAGAAATGAGCAGAATTAAAAGAAATGAGAAAAATATTGAAAAAAATAATTAAAACATGTAATTGAGCTACATGAAATAAAATTTTTAAAAGCTATTAAGTTCAAAAATTAAATGCAAATTTTGAAACAAACTTCAGATATTCAAATTTATTGCACGACATGTTCGATTTGCTTGTCATCGATTTCCAAGATGTGATGCAGTTGAATAGCGAACCTTAGCAAAATTTGCTGAAATGCCGAGACAACGATGCTCTTGCTGACTTTATGCACAAAGTTTTGAAAATGTTCGCTTTGCAAGAAAGACTAAAAACTGAGATATGCTGACATATGTTTTTTTTCTTCTTCTGTGGTTAATGTGTTTAACAGAACTAGACAGTGGACTAGTCAACTTTCATTTTGTGACGTAGCTTGTTAGTTAAACAAGTTTAAAACGGAAGCGTTAGAAGAAGTCCCCCCCTTCCACAAACCGGAGCTCATTACGTAATAGATCTGGTTGAACTTCTTTCCTAGCTTCTCAGATCTTCTCATTATGGGGCAAACATTTACATTGAAAACTAAATAGTTAAAGAGGCTCTGTCACATTCTAGTTGTATATTTCTTAATGAAAGAAGGGCTATGGGTATCATTCAAACTTTTGTTAAAAAAACTCAATCAAATTTTCATGTGGGGGTATAAAGAACAGAAATGTCTATTGTTAGCTTGAAAGTCTGTCCTGGAAAGGATCAAAATTTGTGGTAGATTTGTGAGAAATTTTGAGGGAATAGAAATAAAAAAATATTTATAATATATGCATTGATAGGCAGGCAGTAGTGCAAATAAAAAAATAAAAGTATATAAAACACCTGAAAAATTTGTTCTGTTTAATGTCAAGCAATGTCTGTTTAATGTCTTTTGATTCAAATGAGGAGAATCTTGGCAAAAAATACTGCAGATTGTTAAATCATTTTTGTTATTGCTTCATCAAACAATGTATTAATTTGCCAGCATTTCCACATGATAGATTTGCGCAATGCAATTGTCTTTGTTACCCCTTATTTCAGAATTTTTTTGCTTAAAGTAGAGGTAACTAAACTTTTTTCTCCTTCCCCCATTTGTATTCTAATTGCACTTTAGGGAGGCGTGGTACTCTTATCAATTGATCACTTAAGGGATAGAAAAACTAACTTACTTCAAAGGATTTGGATCATCTCTGATGTATTTTCCTTTCTATTGATCTATTCTCCGAAATGTTTTATCCGTTATACACTTTGAAGCTTTAAAAAAGTATTAATTGCTGTTAAAATATAAATAAAAAATTAAAAACCAAAAGAAGAAAAAAAATCACATTTTAACGCAAGCTTTTTCAATTCATGGAAACCATGACGGAAATTCTCACAGCAATAAACTTGCAACCCTAACCCTGGTTAATCAAATTTAAGTTGTAGTTCAGAATATAATTCGAAATAAATATCTCTTAATAAATTTTCTATTAGCATAAGAAATAAAAATAATTTTTATATAATAGTAATAATTCCTTACATCAGATAGCCCAATAAATATCAGAATGTCAAAAATATATTTTTCTAAACAAAATCATTATGAATTTAAAGTTCATAATGCTCTTTTTATTTTTCCTTTATAACTATTTTTAAAACTTTACACATACATAATTATCACAATTATATTAAAATCAAATTTCATTAAGTGTTTCCAATATGATGGAAATCCTTCCTTCTAATTACAATATAAAATAAACAACAAATGTTTGAAATTTTATTTAAATGTATCTTTGGCAATAAAAAACAAAAAGGGAAGCATCAATTATCTCCAATCATAATATAAAATAAGGAATGAAAAGAAAAGATATTAAACTGGATGTATGTAATTTTATTGAAATAGAATCAATGTATATTCAGCAATTTTATTATTTTGACCACCTTTATTATTTCTTACACTATTTCTAAAAAGGAACAATTACATAAAAGTATATACATTGTCTTCCATAGAGTTATGAAAATAGAGAAAATCGTTTAGATCGAGTTGTCTCTTTTTTTACAAGATCTGCATTTATATCTCTCAAGCTGGGTAACGATTTCAAATCTCCAAGAGCAGCAACTGAAGCTTTACTCTTTAGCATAGTGCTTGTAATCTTGTGAATGTCATCAGCTGTTATTTTAGCTGTAATAAAGATATATTTCATTATAAATTTCAATTCAATAATGTGACATAAGAAAAAGGCAGACGGCCCCCTATTTACACGAGTTCTGACATCAGGCTCATGATCTCACTTCTGATTCTCAAAGCCTGCTTTCAGACAAGCATTGCCAAGTCAGAATTAAGGTGAGTGATGATTGGCTCTTTGCGTCACCTTGTAATTGCTCGCTAATCACTGCAAGGAGAAGTTCTTAAAATCAGGAATGGAATAAATTTGAAAATTTCCAAGGGTGGTGATGTAAGAAAACTGCTTACAGTTGCCTTTTTTCAGTCCTTGTGTAAATAGGGTTTAAGAGATGAAAGGTATAAAAGACACATAGAAATAATGCAGTCGTTTGTTTACTTTACATTATTTTTAGGCTTCACATGTTAATTTATGAATGACATTTTATAAAAATAAACAAATTCCCACAAAAAAAACATATGTATATTCACATTATCTCTCTTATTGGAGAGTAGGTATGTGAAAAGAGCACAGGTCTACTAATGAGTCCTACCAGGTTTGAATCTCAGCAGTGCTTATCGATATGTACATTGCTCCACATCCCCAAAGGTAGATGTATCAGGTAATAAAATCCCCTTGCTGCCTGGCTAAACGTAGGGTAATAACACAAAACAAGGTTAGTCTTATTTAAGTTCACCATAAAGCTGAGTTTCACTGAAGGATTGAGTTCAAAACTACAAGGCTACAGAGCCAAACATTGATTTAGCAAAAAAATCGGTCAAATCAGCTGCTCAACACCAGTTATTAAATTAATTAAAATTACTCCATTAGGGATAACAAGTAGCAAAGCTGACAACACAGCTGTTACAATTTGAATTATGTAATTTTTTTTTTATACATAATATACACAAACACAATTTTAATTTTTAGTAACATAAATTTCTTGTTATTCTGCACAAATTTGACTGTTAAAACCAACACTTTAAAAACTTATCAGTTTAAAAGTGCACAAATAGCTTTTTTTATTATTTGAAAAACTAAATAGTATCTTATCAAGAAAAATTAAGGTCAATTTTTAAGAACTCATGAGTTGAGATTAATAGCTTATAGTAAGATTGTATGGAGCAATCATTGGAAAATAATGAACCATATTTCTTAAAAATTACAATTATGAAATATAAAAAAGAATTTTTGTAAATAAAATATTATACTTAGACAAATAAATAACAGTAAGAATAAATAATTATTCAATAAAACATGCAAGAAATAGTAACAATAAATAATTATTTAACATAAGAATCATAATAACTCTGGTTACCAATTTGTTCAATAAAATATTCGGGTTCTCTTCTTCTACCAGTGGCAAGAACTTGTCGCCCAATATCTTCAAAAACTACAGGTCTAGATTCAAGATTCATCAGCAGTACTGACTGTAATTGTGTTTTAGCTCTTTCTAATTCGGACTAAATAAGAAACAAAATAATAAATAGTATGAAAAGTTCACTTTGCAAAGCATCTATAATTACCAAAACATTTAAGAAAGTGAATATACAAATATATTTCACAGAGAGAATATATGTATATATACAAGACAGGTTAGATAAACTATGAAAAGTATATAATTGTAAAAAAAATATGGCAATCAATGTTGGCAAGTTTCGTATATATTTTTACCATAGATTTATACCATTATGTGAAAAACCTAAAAATTTGCCCTAGTTGAAATATTATTATATGATGACCAGACATTAATTATTATTTTTTTTGTAAATGTAATTAAACACTTATTGAAAATATAACGCGTTAGAGAAAAAAAAAAAAACTCTTCAGTTCAGATATTTTAAATATAACAGAAATATGCTGAAAGATCTAAGAAAAAAAAAAAGACAGCCTACTATTAGGAAAAATAAGTTTTAAACATTACATTAGGAAAAAAAGAAGTTTAAAATATTACAATCATTATTCATGCCATACTTATTATTCATAACCTAATATTAATTATTTATTTCCCCAACATAAAAAGACACAGTAATATGAAGTTTAAAAGTTAAATTATTGGAGGAGCAGCTTTCTCTGATTCTTTTTATTTTATTTTATTGCATTGACATTTTTTGCTTTTTAAAATATATATTCTTCTTTAGACAATTTTACTTATAAATTAATTCAATTTCATAATTGGGATTTGATGCTGAGACTGATTTGATGGAAGAAGCTTTTAAAATATTTACAATTAGTCATCTGGTATGTACCAAAAGACTTTATTTTAACATTTTAGTTTCTTTTTTAATTCATGTTGTTTGTTTTATTAACACTTTTAAGATCAGATGTTTTACTTTTCTTTTGATAGAAACAAATGTTTTGTTGACAACATTAATTTGAGTTGTATTTTTTGTTTGTTGCAGACTTAAAGTTCTACAATGCTGAAAATTTTGTATTCTGGGAGAATTTGAGTCAATTATATTTTAATAATACAACAACTGATGACAATTTCATTTTCCAGTTTAAAATCTATATGGACAAGATACCTAAAGTAAAAAATCTAATCAGAATATTAATTGTTTGCCTTGTTTAGGTTACCAATATTATTATTATGCTTTCTCATTTCATGACCCAAAAATAGAATATTAAACATTTTTCCTATTTTTTATAAACTTTTTCTGTAATTTTCAATATCAAGAACATCTAAAATGTTTACAAATAAATTGCTTTACAATGGTTGGTTTAATTATTTTAATAATGGATATTTTTAAATTAATAAAACTTTAATTCTAGCTTTACTTTAATTAACAATTTAAAAAAATAAACTTTCATTTCAAACAAATTTGTTGCACAATGGTACAAACAGGAATACTATGAAAAGAAATACTCCTAATAAAGAAAAGTATATTCCTAACATATAAAATATCATTTATTTATGAAGAATTAAATTAGTACATTGTTATTAAATTGTAATTTCATAAAATTAATATATTTAATTTCATTAACAAGTATATTGATTTAAATTGATTTCCCCCCTTTTATACAAGCAACATGCAACCTTTTGTTGGAATATCATCCATAAAAAATCATTGCAATTATTTTTTAAAACAACTGTAACTGTCACTTATTTTAACATGTATATCAAAAAAGTACATAAAAGATAATAATAAAAAAAAATAATACTGAGTATTTTTAAAAGCAATTTTAAATATATTCTGAACATAAAATAACTATCATTCTTAATTAAGCAATATAGGATTAAAATGTTATAAAACAGACAACAAATTTTAATTACTTACATTAGATATATCCCCAGTCATTGTTTTAAATTCATTTACTATTACATCAACCAATTCCTTAAGCTATTTAAAGAAATATACAAAACATAATCAACTAAACTTCATTCAACAAAAGTAAAATATATAAAATAAGAAACATAAACATTTTTGAATAGTATGCCCATTTAATTATTAGAATAAAAAATATAAAGTTTGGCTTGGTGGCAAAGTCCCACGAGAGCTACACTAAAAGGGCATTGAGGGCGGTGGGACTTTTATCATTAAAGGTTTTTTAAAGACAATACTGGAGCACACATTACAATTTAGATTAGAGTACAGAAGGGGGTAACAAGTGCACGGTCTCTTCATCATCTCTCTAACCACATAACAGTATGCGGATTATCCCGATGACATTATATTTGATTTGATATTGAGGTCACCATTGAGAGAAAGGGTGATCTGATTAGAGACTCGCAGGTAAATCAAAGCCTGACCCAAGCAGTAATAGGCAAAGGCTCGACCTATACCATACCAAATATAGAGGCAACCTCAATTGCATAAACCTTTAACTTATTTTAGGTTGTTTCTTTTAAAATTGACTTTCTATATTTATTCCTTACAGCTTCTTAAAAGTGCATAACACAATTAATGAATCGTTATTGTGTATTTAAAGTTTTTGACATGAGAACCAGCAAAGTTAAAACAAAAAAATTTAATTATTTCTATACGCAAAAAAAGGAAGGAAAAAAATAAACTATTTCATTTTTTAAAAATTTACATTTTAAAAATTTCTCACAATGAGGTAAAATGTGAGATTATATAACCATAAAAAATAAATTTTGCATAAAGAACTACAAATAAAATGATAAAATAAGAAAAAAAAGTACATAAAAAAAGATGCCATTCTTATTCAATAAGTATATTAAATAAAGTTTAAAAAAGTCAACTAGACTTACTGATAATTATAATTTTAATTCTAAACAATAGTTCATTTTTCATTTAAAAACAAATCAGATTCAAAACTATTAATAACTGCATTTAGAAATAAGATGATTTTTACATATATTTCAATGTGTGAAAACAAATTGCAGCAAAGATTATAACAATGAGGGGGAAAACATCATCCAATGATGAAGTTTAGAATAGAAGATCATGATAAGAAAACTCATATATTGACAAGAATTGTTTGAATTATTGTTGCAAACTGCAGTTAGCAAAAATAATAATTCAAACAAAATATCTTTCTTTTCTAAAGAAGTTGGATTTACTTTATTGAGGTTCACATAAACTAAACATCCAATATTTAATTAGAAAATATAGCGGAATTTACATATGATTCATATATACCTTATGAAAGGGAGAAATAAATAAAAACATTAATTTATAACAGTTGTAACATTTGAAAGGTTTTTAAACAAAATTTTTTGCATTTACACTGAAACTATTGAATGGCAAGTTTTTACAAATATTTCTTATTTAAATAATAAAGACAATGATATCTTAATCGGGCACTCTATATGAACAATCAGAAACAAAGTAGAATAGTTTGTCGTCATGCAGCCTCAGATAGATGTTTTACTTTGGCAAAAATATTTCACTTTCAACCATAAGAATAAATTAATTCCTATACAGGGTATCTGCTACATTTTAGATTTTCAAATTCATGATTTTCCAAGACTAGTTTCAAGAATTTTTCATGACTTAAAGAAGTTACTATTTTCCCCGACAAAAACGTAACATTAAATTAAAAAAAGCATTATAATAACATTCATTGAAATGATAATTATAACCAAAACTGTTATACTCTGCATCTTCATATTTATAGATTTTAAGTTTAAAAAACAGAGTAAAGAAAGAGTTAAGCAATAAAACAGCTGGGAAAAAAATAAAAAAACAAATTTTTTTTTTTGTTTTTTCTGCAGACATATATTCTAAAGATACTTTTCTTGTTCATCAGAAAGGAAAGAAATGCTCCTTATTTCTCTGTTCTCATTTCAAAATAAAAAAAAATTCACCAATGATTGGCTTGCTTCGGCTTGAAGTTTAAGTTGATAAAAAAATAAATAATAAAAATTCTTAAATCACAGAAGTTAAAAAGATAATTCGTTTTAGAAGAATGTTCTGTTTTTTTCCTGCATTCTGTTTTTTCCACCATAATTTTTAATGAACATGATAAAGGCATTTTTTATTCTAATAAAATATGACTGTGAGTAGTGATTTTGTTAGGAATTCAGATATTTGGAATAGGATGAAATTGAGAGGGGGATTCCATTTTAAAAATTTGGCGACCTAAATCCATGACTTCTTTTAAAAAAATAGTAAAAATCATAACATTTCATGACAAATTTTGTCCAATAATGAAATTTATGACTTTCCATGAATTTTCATGACTTTCCAGGTACGCGGATACCATGTCTATAAAAAAGTAAGGAAGAAATTAATTCTTACTTGGCTTGGATGTGCACTAGCATGAATGCAGAATAAACCACTGTCAGAATAAGCATGGTTAAATGCAGTAGCACTGTACATCCAGTGATGCCTAAAAATAGTGAGTGTAACATTAATTTAACACAGTTAGAAATAGGGTAAATAATAACACCTAAAGTCAATTCAAAACTAGAAAAAATTAATTGAATCTGTAAACACTTTTTTAAAATTCTTATCTTAATTAACAATGTTAAGTGAGCTACCATCAAACTCATGAGCTCTCTATCAAACACAAATGTAAATGACCAAAACATAGTAGATCAGAAGAAAAGTATTAAGTTTCTAATTAATGAAATGATTCAAAATTCTATAAGCTTTATTATGTTTATCATTCACATTGAAAGCTGGCTTTGATTAAAATTTTCATATAAAGACATAAAAGTTTTTGAAGAACTAATAATAGAAGAATAACTAATTGTATCTAATACTACACACAAACAGTAATTTATTAACATGTTTTGATTTGATTCTATAAACAACAGATATTAAAAATATAGCATAAAATTAAAATAAAAAGGTGTATTTAATATAAATTGCAAGTTGTCGTGGAGAAATCTTCAGAGGAAGGCATTGGCTCACATTGGGCTGTCTGGCCAACTATGATGATGATGATGATTATTTAATATAGAATGCATTGATTTCAAAGTTGAAAGAATAAGTAGAAGTATAAGACATTTCCAAGTAAATTCCAATATATATATATATAAAGAATGAATTGACGACCTGACATTAACTGATTAACAGCATCACTGTAGAAGCTCAGTAGACATACATATATTATGAAAATGGTAAATGTGTAACCAACAAAATTTCTTTTGAATATAATTGTAAAAAACACATAAAAATAATTTTTTTAAACATTTATAGATCATTCTGAATGATTGACTCCAAAAGGAAATAAAAAAAGTTTCCCCAAGAAAAAATTAAATGTAAAAATTAGTCAAAATATTTAATAGTTTATTTTTAAAATGATGAAAAATATTTGTTTTAAATATTTATTTATTTATGAATGTTTAAATACAGCTGGTTACTCAGACCAAACAAATTTTTTTTTAATATTAAAGGGATATTATTTTTTATATCATTCTCTGGTTAGACAGTTTATGTTAATAAATAATTATTTTAACCATTTGTTCAGAATTATAATTGTTTAAATTTATTTTATCTTTCCACATCTTTTATCAGTATTACACCTTTTTCCATATTTAGATGGTAGCGTAATTACTAAAATATCTTAAGGCAGGTTTTTAAACAAATGAGTATCACAGATGTCTCTCTCGCTCTATATTTTTTTTGTGGGGGTAATGAGAATAAAATACACAATTCTATAAATTTGACAACAAAAAAAAATCTAATTTGCTAAATATGAATAAAATGATTATCATTATTATTTTTTCTTAATTAATGATTATCTGTGAAAAATTTCTTTTCATGCTTGAGATATTATGGAATAAAAATTATTATAGAATTTTAATTATTGAGGCAAAAACCAACCCCAGACCAGATTAAAATATTTGCCTCTTAGTTTCAAAGAAACCATGTTTTTACTCGAAGTGTAGATTTGAGACTTCACACTGAATGTATTCAACAAAAAAAACTTCAAGTGTTGTGTTAGTTTTTGCACCATAATATATGAGTCGAATATAAATTGTTCTGAAATTATATTAAAGAAATAGTTAAGCATAACATACCTATTTAATACATTGGTATACAGCCTGGTGTACATGCCTTTACCTGGTCCACCAGCAGAAAAAGAGCCTCCTCCTCCCATCATTGTGTTCAACACACAAAAAGGAATGAAATTATCATGCTGGTGAGAACAACTTTCAAGGCCTAAAACAAAGTGTGCAAGCTCAGGCATGAGACCAAAGTTAACACTTGTCATGTCTCTCTCCAACTGAAAATAAACAGTTTTTCTTTTTTAAAAAAAATATAAAACAAACTAATTTTTTAAAATTTAATTTTAAAGCTTTGTTTATGTATTAGAATTGTTTTTTCATCACTTGAATTTTTATTTAAACGCTAGAGAAAGTCAGTAAGAAAAAATTTAACAATTAAAAAAATGCTTTTAAAATGCGTAAATTGTATTAAATATTCTCTTTGTAGTATAAAAATACTAGAGGGACAATCTATATCGCTTTTCCTCATTTCTGGACTAATTTAGGGTCTCATTGTGTTTTGCAGGGGGCAACAGAAATTTATTGATTTATAATTTTAGAAGAAATAGCAGTGTATTACATATCAGCTAAATAAATAAATAAAAACAAGTTTAAATTGATTTTTAAGCATATTTTCAAATTTTAATCAAAACCTGATCCACCTTGTCCTTATTGTACAAGAATTGGAAATTATTAACAAATAGTAATTGTAACATCAGAATAATTTGAAGGCATAAATTTAAATCATTGCTATATTTTTAAAAACAAAAATGTACATTGCCCACATGGTTCATATTGTACAGGAATTGAAAATTGTTTTCCTTGTAATTAGGTATGAAATATATTGTTCATATTTGTTTTATATTGTATTTTTTGAACTTGTTTTTCTTGTCGAAACTTGTAAATGTATTTAAATGTTATCCTTCTATAATTTTTTTAAAATTAGGGGAGCTTTTTTCTTCTTCTTATTTTAAAACGTGTTAACTCTTTTTCATTGTAATTTGGGTTCGACAAAACATTGATTAACGACACTTTTTGGCTGATCCAGAAAACCGGGAAATTCAAACTTTCGGGATAGCGATGATCTCGAGCATCCCGGATAATTGGTTCTCTACTGTACTAATAAATATGTATGTAATGATAGTTGATTATAAGTCTAAATTCAACAATGATAATTTCATTATTAAAAGTAAAACAAAATTATGCAGTAAATAGAAAAGAATTGGTTTAGAATAAACACTTACATTGTGATTTTTCCAAAAAAATTAATTTTCTATTTCAAAAAAAATATGACATAACAAGGTTTTAAGAAGAAACTTTGACATAGCAATTCAAATTAATATCAGGTGGATACATAATGCCAAAAGGAAAAAAAAATTTTTTTTTTGGTCATAAAAAGGTTTTTGCATTATCAAAATTTGAGATATTGAGAGTATGCTGTAAATTTTAAAAATTTCAAATAAAACAATTGCATAAGTGAAAATTTAATAAAACACAAATTTAAATATAAAATTTATAAATTAGTAGTTTAATAGCTTGTGATGCCACAATTGGCATTACATATTTATTTTTTATCCTTTTAAAATATCTTTTATTACTTAAGCTTATTTTTGTTAATAGAATTATATTTAAAATAAATCAAAGACTTAATCTTTTAAAACAAACATAAAATACTTATTCTTCTCTTATAGATCAATGTAACGGATACTTTTTTTTAAATTTCACTTCTAGGCAGACTTACTAATTCACTGTCGCCTCAAATCGAAAATAAAAATCTATTAATAACTTTTTATTCTAAATTTCCAACTTCTAAATGCTTCGGTTGCATGGTTGTAATAATTCTCATAAATTAGTTGGTGACTCATGATCGCCAAGGTATTCTTTTAAACACATACTGATATGCTAGTTGGCTTTGTTTTGGCTATTATATATTTTAATAAATCGCCAATTTTGGATCTCCTACCCATACTTTCTATGTCCGTTAGGAATAAATATATTCACTTTTAATTTCAAATTTGTGGAGACTGGGAGTGCCCTAATGGGCCAGTCTCAATTTCCAACCGTCAGAAATGATATTCTGGCTGTATGATCTCTCAATAAGAGGGTATTCTGATTTCTTCCCTTTAGAGGGATTGCTATTTTTGGATGAAAAAATGGCCATTCTCTGTACCACCAATAATGCATAATAAAATCTAAATTTCACTAAACAATTTGTATATTCTTTCCTGGAGACTGTATAAAGTTATTTTCCACTATACGAATATTGGCGGCTACTGACAGAGAAACCAACCTCCGCCATATAGCTCATAGTATTAGTTCATCAAAAATATTAGCAACACTTATTACAGTATTTTGACGCATTCTTATTAAAGATGTGAACCCTAAATTTAATTAATTAAAAAAAATTGAAATGATTATACCTTGATTAAGCCCCCAGTATATTGGGAGGTGGATTTGTCAAGAGGTATGTCATCTTTAGAAGCCAAATCTTCCAATTCCCATATTGGTGGCTTTTCAACAAAATGCCTAGATAAAAGAAAATTAAGTTAAATACATTATTCAAAGTTTAATTTATGTAAACTGATTACGATATGTAACAATGCAGAATAAGAGTGAAAGGCAAACAAGAATAACTTATGATGTATTCATCGGAATTTCATGTATACTAAGATACAATTTGACACAAAAAACAAATAATACATAAACTTAATTTGATTAGTCAGAAACAAACAACCAAGTTTACTTGTGAGATGAATTAAGGATTTGATTTTAGTGCTAAAATTTCAGGCCGTCTGGGCTTTTATTTTTTTACAATTTCATAATGATGAGTAAAAAAGACACCTCAGGAAAAGGTTGATTCTAGACAATATTCTAGGCTTATGATTCTAGACAATAATCCAAGAAATAATGTACTGAAACTACACAAAAATTTTAATATTACAACAAAACTAACTTATAGAAAGCAAAATTAACACAAAATAAAATTAACAGTCTATAAAATTAACATTGTACAAAAAAATAAAATTTGCAACCTTTTTTGAATTTGGTAAGTGGAAATTACAAAATTAAACATAAATTCCTTTCCCGCAAAATATGTTTAATCAATATTACTGGAATTCAAAAAAGATATTTTATAGTTTTAAAAGCATTATTAATTTATACAAAAAACATCTTAATTATGAGTTGATAAAAAAAATAAAATTACTTTTGGCATGAGTTGACTAAATCATCATGTTCAATACCAACACCAGCTATCACCATTCTTGAAGGTGTGAAGTGATTTTTTAAATAGGCAAATAAAATGGATCTGTCAATTTTTAAAATATTCTCTGGTGGACACAATTTTGGAAGCCCCAAAGTATTCTCTCGATATGCAGCCTTCAAGAAAGAGAAAATGAATAAATTATTTGATCAAATGTTTGTATAAATATAATGCTTTTTCCATTTAAGAATTAAATTGTATACTTGATGTATGAGTTCCATCAAGAGAGATTCTTGGTCAGGTCTTATTTCAATATCTTCTAATTCAAACTGTATAGTTTGCCTGGCTTTTTCGATCTAAAAAAAAAAGAAGTCAAATGGTTGTAATCCTATTTGATATGACAGGGTTTAAATTTAAGATGTGTATGCTTGAATATTTAGCTACTGCAATTCTTAAACTGATACTTAAAATATATTATTCCTTTAAATTAAAAGAGCAGTGTTCACAGAACAAAAGCTTTGGATTAAGTTTTACCTACTTATTAACATGATTTTATTTCCTGCTGCATTATCAATAATGAAAGCTTGAGAGTAAACTTTAATATCAAAATATTCTTTACCTCTGATTAAATTAAAAACAAACTTTTAAAATAAATCCAGTTATCCTCAAAGATATGTTATAAATAATAGTTCTTTTTTTCGATAGATATACAAATAGTTCTGATCAAGAAATTTTATAAAATTTGCAAAAAATACTTGTTATAATGAAACTTTTTCACAGTCAGTGAAAATTTTTTTTTTACTATGAAGTTCTAAATAAAAACTATTATATAAAGAACTAATAAAATGCAAATATAACAAAGACACAAAAAATAATCATATCTACACAAAGAGGACAACCATATATATTAATTTAAATTCATACCTCTTCATTGGAAAATTTAGGTCTTAAAACTGCTTCAGACAGAAGTTTTATCACAGGATCCAAACCCTTTGAGTTGGCAGATGCAGCATAGATTAAAGTATCCCTATAAATATTATTAAGTAATGTGAAAAATCTAAAGAACACTGGAATTAAGTAACAATCAATCTAATACTTATCCAATTACTAATTAAAAAGATTCATGCTTTTTTTCTCTGTTGTATTATGATTGCTGTGTTACAATTTAATACATTCACGTAAATTTTTCATTTTCTTTTCAGTTTTTATTTTATTTTGAAATTGAAACAAGCTGTTTTAATATTTTGCACAAGATAGATCATTTAGATAAATTTTCTAAATTTTTATGATTTTCATTTTTTGCAGTAGGTAGGTACTATATTTATGTTGCACTAGAGATGGCTTGGGAAACATTCCTGAGGATGATCCGAAAACATGCCATTGCAATTTTGATCCTCTGCAGAGGGAAAGGCTGATGACCTGCTCGCAAAGTCGAGCACTTTATGGTAGAACGGTTTAAAGAGGACTGATTCCGAGCACCATCGGTCCCTACACAGGCTGATCAAAGTGGTCACCCACCTGCTTACTGACTGCAGTCAGTGATGCTTGACTTTGATGTTCTACTGGGATTAGTTCACTGCAGGACTTCCTTTTTTGGGACTTACATTTTTGTAAGTGACATTAAATTTAAAGAAGCAATCAAAATGGTAGATGATATTTCCAAGACTTTTATTACTCAAGCAATCATACAAATATGATAGTTGGATTATTTTGAAAAACATAGTAAAATATTTTTCAATAAATGAAAACTATATTCAGATGTCAACCATTAGTCAAATGATTTTTCTCTATTAAAATATCTAGGGAAGTATATGATACAACTATGTTCTATACAGTTAAGACAAATGGCAAAACAGTATCTGAAAGTAAGAATTCTTAAAGGCACAATTTAAAAAAGTATGCATTAACCAAAGATATTTAATAACTAAGATATTTAATAACTAAGATATTTAATATGAAGATATTTAATTAACTAAAGATAGCTACAATATATAATAGTCACTAGAATGACTTTTTAGGGCATCAATAGATTTATAAAAGTAAATATCAATTAAGGGAACATGGCTATTTTAGTACATGACCATTTAAAATCATAAAACTGTAAAAAATAGTGTGTATGGTCAGTCTATGTTGATACAACATGGGTTGTCACGAGTTAGGCTATTCTTTAACTGTTCTCTGCACGTTCTCATAAGGAAATAAAAGAAAGCTATTTCTCAGTAAAGATAAAGAGAGTCCAATATTCAAATTATTTTAATTATGATATGATTTGACTCAAAACAAACCCAAAATAAATAATATTTGTAAAAATTAATTAGGTTAGTTTACACATTCTTAATTTAAAAGATTTAAATTTTATAAGAAATCATTTGTACCTATTTCCTTGACAATCACATATGCCACCATGTTTCTCCAATTCTTCTAATATAGCACTTTTATCAGAAAATTGAATAGTAGACTGCAATAAATAAAAAACTCTGATAAATATGAGGTTTTACAAAAAAAATTTAATAGGTTATAAAAGTTAAGACACAAGAATTTAATACTTGATAAACTCCTATACAAAATTCACTGTTTTAACTCCATTCAATGAACTGTTTTAAAAAGACATTAAAAAAAGTATCAGAAAGCTGAGTAGGCATACAGTTTTGATTATGGTTTAGACAAAAAATAAGTTTAAAGCTTCAAAAATTCCATTTTTTTTGTAATAGTATAAACATTATTATAAGGTTTGAAGTATTCCAAACAAGTATTAGATATTAAATTACTGCTTACTCTTCAGACATATACACTTTCATTCAGTAACAGCATTACAGACACATTTCTAATTTTTGTGTTTGTAACCGAAATTCATAAAAAATAAAAATTTGTAATGTAAAACTTATTTTTAGATTGGTGACAAACAAAGCCCAATGGTAAACAATTAACTTATCTGAGGAACAGAATGTGAAAGACAGATTTGTCTACTATAGAGAACTGTTGTACAATGGTGAAAACAAAAAGAGAGGATTTAATTTATAGCACAACATTAGATTTTTTATCGGTCTACAATTATAATTCCTACGGAGAGAAATTTGTAGCAAACACCTATTAAACTTCTTAGCTTGCCAGAGCTGGTATATACTTTAGATAAGTAACTGTAACCGACTATGTCCAAGATTTCAGTATTTCTCAGGTTGACGTCATTGCCTAACTAGATGTAACTGCATGACAAATAATCTAAACTGGGCATAATGAAACGTAAACAAGCAGTTCAGTGCTGAAATTTATAGGTCAAAAAGGATTTCGACTCCTTATTTTTAACATATTTTATTTAAACACACATATTCCTTTTTCATATAACTATTCTGTAAATGAGGCTTCAGCATAATGCCATAAAAACTTTTGAAAAAGAAAAAATAAATAAAAATTCTATTATTTGACATTATAGAATCTAAGAATGAGATATTTTTGTGGATTATACAAAAATTGTCAGAATATAAAAAATTACTTACATTAAAAGCTAACTTTTCTAAAAAGTGTGAGATACCACTGGGATACTTCACTTCATATCTTGAGCCAGAATCTATAACAGCTGAAACAAGATGATGCCATGTAAACATATTAATTTATTCAAAGTAATAGGTGCTGTTAAAATATTCTTGTATACGAAATATAAATTTATTTACTTGCCTCCAACAGTACATGATTGACCAAATTTGTTTTGAGATGCAACTCTAAGTCCATTTGATAAAGTGCTAACTTTAGTTTCTGAATTGTAATTTTTACTCGAAGCATATATGGGTTTTGGTGCAGTTGGTAAAGTTTCTGATAATGGCACTCTCCAAGATGAAAGCCTTGCTGCTGGCACACCAATATCTTTATAGATATCCCTAACATGAAAAAAAACAAAAAACAAATAAATACCAGAGTGAATTCATTAAATAAAAATAAACAACTTAGTAACCCTTTGGTACTGATTTGTTATGCATCTGTTTTTCAAGATTTGTTTTTGTCGCCTACATTGGTGATAACTGCCAATGTGGGGTTCGTTTGGATTGTACTTGTGAGCAAAGATGAGTGCAGTGTAATGATCAGAAAAATGGGAGGAGTAAAAGTTTCAAATTAATACCTTCAATGTTTTATATTTTAAAGTTAACGTGTAATTACTCAGCATTAATTTGCCCAGTCCACTACACTGACATTTTTTTAAGGTTAAAGAATTGGCCGGATGTTTTTTTTAAATCTATCCTGCCTGAATACATTAAGAATGTTTAAATTAATTTTGAAGTTATTAGCAGAATCTTAGTACATCAAGTGAGGCTATATTTTTGTAAACTTTTCTTTTGTTTTAATCAGTATTTTTGTTTGTTATTTTGCTAGTATTTCTAAACTTATCTAACATTTTTTTTTAAAGTTGTATTTTTAAAATGTGTTCCCATATAAAGCTAAATAACTTAAAATCAAATGCAACTGAAATAGTAAAATAAAAAACACGTTGTGCATCAAAAAGCAAATCGAAAAAAAAAAAAGCTTCTATTCTGCTTCTGTGCATCTGAAGCAATTTGGCTTCTTTAAGAAAACCTTAAAAAAATTGCCATTTATTATTGAAGACAATAATGCTTAATTACTTACAATTAGTACTACATTAGTGCAATTGGTGTGGTTTTTAATAGGTATGAAATATACTAATATCAATACTATTGTACTAAGGTAATAGGTTTTTCATCTTAAGGGGGAAAAATTGTTCAACTGTAGCTACTATGAGGTTGCTTCTAGCAGCAGCATCATACTAAATGAGAATGAGGATTACAAATTAAAAGAAATAATTTTGATTTGATATCTTCTATTTGTTTTATTATTTTCTTTGTATCTGTTTTTGATCACATTTCTTTTTGTTGTATTTTTGTCCTTGCAAACTTTTCAAAATTTAATATGAAACGTAGTCTTCTTTTTTTCCGCAACAAGCTTGCAATCCTACTCATACCTATTCCTAGGCAAAATTAAATATTTTTTAAAAGATTTCTTCAAATATAAAAACTTTATATTCTCTCCTCTGGCACCATGGTGATTCTAGTTGTTGTGAACAAGTACCAATATGGAAATATCCTCAAGAAATGTCAAATTTAGGAGGCCTAAATTTCTGATTATTCTTGTTAATAAACTGGAGACATAATTTAAGATTTCAATAATAAGAAGATTTCCATGATGATATTTGCAGAAAGTTTTTACCACTTCCAGGTAGTGGCAAGGAAGACTACTAAGAGAACATTCCATAATAAGGAAAAGTTTTTTTCATCAGTACCAGCACCAAAAAAGTCATCAAAATTTAGCAATAGCTGGCCACAGGCACATGAAAAACTATAAGAAACGTAACAGAAAGAGATCTATTGGAAGGGCATAACTCAAAATCACAACATATATTTTTAAATTTCGCATAACCAAAAATCATTTGGCACCGTGAACACAGTTGATGCGGACAGACACTGATATGGAAATATCCTATATAATACGGCAAACTCGAAAGAAAATTCACTGGTGAGCTACTATATAATTATCATTAATTTATTACAGGTTATACAACCAGGCAATTACATTTGGCGGAAATATTTCTGAATCGTGACCTCTCACACAAACTATGATTTCCAAGGTGACAAATGGATTTTAAGCTTGCTAATATTTAAAAAAAAACATGTGGAGGTTCACTCAGGGTGGCTATGAGTTATAGTTGAGTCCTTTTTATGATGTTCTTTTTCCGTTTCTAGCGGGTCACTGCTCAAAAGTTGCCAAGATTTGATGATTAATTTGCTGCAGGTCACAATACAGAATTCTTCCCTATTTGGCACCTTCACAATTTCAGTTGAGGCATGGAAATATCCCCTACAATTTCAATCCATTGAAAACAGTATGCTTCTTCTGAGAAGATACTTTTTTGTGTCCAATTTTTTGCTCAATATGTAGTTACCACAAATTAATTAGCCTAATTGAGGTAAAATCTTAAAACCATTAAAATTGGTTTTCAGTCGGCTAAAATCTAGTGATTAAGGCAAAGGTATAAAATTTTTTTATCCCACTACACTAGAAGAATGTCTCTAGTCAGAAAATAAGTAAGTATTAACAGTGTAAGCTGAAATTGTCACTTTCCTGTCGGTTAAAAAATTCAACACATTTTAAAAATAACTAGCTTAAATCGTTTGACTTAATCTATTGCCAATGCACTCAGCCAGCTAACTATGTTCAATTGATCATAATTAAATAAGCTAATTGTTCTCAAACTAATTTAAAAGATTTGAATAACTTAATTTTTACCTTTTCATAAATATTATACTTCTGCAAGTTAAAGACATAGTTATTTATTATAATTTGTGAAGTAACGTGACTTGTTTATTTTGAAACTGAATGAAAGAGCAATGGAAAATTAAGACTTCCTTGGTCTGAAAAACATTAAAATATTTAAAAAGTTGACAGCATATTCATTACTCAGATACAATACTGTTCTTTTTTGAACTACCAACTCATTAAACTGACTCTACAGTTGATTAAAAATGATATTTCGTACAAAAAGGAGAGTGGATTTAAGTAGGGAGGGTTGCAGTTAGGCTCAATAACAATTAAAACTCTTAACTATTTAAATTTCAGTGAAAAATGTTTCATAGCGTTACAATTATTTAAAAGGGGGAAGTCTTTTCGTCAATAAGAAAGCTGTTTTCTAAATAAAAATAGTTATATAAATTTTTATCTTAATTTGGCATTACCAAATTTCGTAGTAGAAGTACAAGTAATTTTGTTTACACATAACCAACGTGCGTGAGTCAAATTTGTACTTTGTATATTTCTATAATTAGAATTGTATTTGTTCTTTATTGTGTAAGTAATAATATTAACATTTCATAAAGTTCAATTTTTATGTTTTGCAGGAACTTTAATTTGTTGATTTTATCATTTCCATTCTCTTTGCAATCAATGTTGTAAATAATGTATGTTGAGGAAATCAAGCTAATTTTTTTGTAATTTAAGATCTATAGTATTCATGTTTAAAATATTGACTTATAAATTTTACAACTACTGTTTTAAAGAATCATATTTTATAGGTATAACAAAATGCATATTTTTTTGCGAAGTCAAACAACGTACTCTGTTGAATTAGAAGAAGGCACTGTCTCCTCTTTAAAAGTAAGTTTGTAAATTGTGTGTATCTGTATAATTTTTGTGCCATGAGCACTAGATTCTTTCTTCATGTTAACAAGTCTGTTTCCCTGCATTAGTTACCTATTTCCTCCATATTCCATGCCCAATTTGTTTAAACATGTAATAATTGTAAATAATGTAATATTAATTTGTTTGTGTGTTTTAACTTTATTGTTAAAAATTTCTCTTAAGGATTTCATTGAAGAGTCTGAAGGTCTATCTGCAGAAGAACAACATTTATATTTGGGTGGTAATCCTTTGGAGGATGATCAAGATATAACAGAATGTTTAACAGATGGTGCTACCGTAGACGTTTGTGCAAAACTCCGAGGAGGTAAATGGATTTTTGACTTGGGCTTATTAAATGAATTTTTTTAAACTTTGTGGTCTTTAATACTGGTATAATGAGGTTTGCGTTAATCAGTTTAAAATGTTTTTAAAATAATTCGTTTACAATAGTAACTTATTTTTAATTTGTCTTGTTGAAGTACAGATACAACGATATTCTTGCGATAATCTCGGCTGTCAAGTTTTCCAAGAATATCACAGAATTCCATGTTGTATCTCAAGATCATTGGTTCACAGACTTCTGTGACTCAAATCTTTATAAGTTAAAGATATGTTGACACTCTTGCTAAATACCATTAATGGGAAGTATACACAAACACATGACTCTTCTGCCGATTTGATTATTTTAATTTGGTGAATTTTCACCATTTTTATTATTCGAACCTGTGATGGAAACTGGAGTTATAATATAGATTTTCGCATTTACTTGATTTAAAAGTTATGTATTGCGATTCGTATTTACAAGCTTTAAAAATTGTGCGTTGCTGGTGTGCATTTATTGAGATTCGTATTCACATGTTTGTCATTTAAAACATTGATTTTCGTGTATTTATACATGATTTAAAATTACGCACTCCAATTATTATTCCTGTAATCTAAAAATTATGCAGCTTAATTAGGCTATTAAGTATTGATTAGGTATTTTTTCATGATTTAAAAATTCCACATCGCAATTTGTATTCTTAAGTTTTTTTAAATCCAATGTCGAGATTCATATTAACGTAATTTTAAAATTCAATGTCTTCATTCATATTCATGCGATATTAAGATCCAAATAGCAATTTGTGTCAGAATCACCACTGAAAACAAATAGCTGGCATTTTTACTAAAGTGCTTGGTTAAATGAGTTTAATAATATTTATAAGTGAATTAATAAAATAAAATCATTTTAAGTGAGATTCGTTTTGTATAGTAATATGAAGAACTATTTAGGTAAAAATTAAAACTGAACATTAATAATTTATGAAAATTGTTATAAAAATAATTATTCATGTCCAAATCTTCCTGCATTAATGGCTAAAACCTCAGAGATCTTTTTTTAATTTGGTGCTATGTATAGAATTTAAAAGAAAACATACTGAAATACAATCTTAACAGTTTGTTCGATACCAATTGATTGATTTCTATGTAGCTTAGCGCCAAAGTGACGTCACTAGAGAAAATCGGAGGATTGGCGCGACATGAGCTACTTCAAAGGAGTGAACCAGCCCTTCTATTCTCTTTAGCCCTGATTTATACCTGATTTAACACTACGCACTGCGATTATTATTATTTTGATCTAAAAATTATGCAGCTTAATTAGGCTATTAAGTATTGATTAGGTATTAACATGATTTAAAAATTCCACATCACAATTTGTATTTTTAAGTTTTTTAAATCCAATGTCGCAATTTATATTAACGTAATTTTAAAATTCAATGTCTTCATTCATATTCAAGCGATATTAAGATCCAAATCGCAATTTGTGTCAGAATCACCCCTGCAAACAAATAGCTGACGTTTTTACTAAAGTGCTTGGTTTAAATGAATTTAACATATTTATAGGTGAATTAATAAAATAAAATCCTTTTAAGTGAGATTCGTTTTGCATAGTAATATGAAGAACTATTTGGCTAAAAATTAAAATTGAACATTAATAATTTATGAAAATTGTTATAAAAATAATTATTCATGTCTGAATCTTCCTGCTGAAATCTCAGAGATCTTTTTTTAATTTGTTACTATGTAGGGCAATTCCACGGAAGTGTCAACTTTT